CCTGACCCATTTCCTAAAAAAAAGTCAACGTATACAAATGATTTATACAGTTGTATACAATGTATATTCAATTTATTTTGGACTTTTTGAGCCCTAGATATTGTTTGAATACGCATTTCTCTTTATTCCCCTTGTATTTCCCATATTATTTCTGTGTATTTGTACCTGTACCATTTTTAACCTGTTTTAACAATTGTATATCGCTGCCCATGTGGGGTATACCAATGTATACGGGATGTATCCTATGCACGTATTCATTGCCTAATCTTGTATTTTATCTGAATTCTGCATCCCTGTACGTTAACCTGCAATTTCATTTTTTACACCTATTAATGGTGTCACGCGTCTGTATACCAGTGTATAAGGTTGTATATCAGCCTGGTTTTCAACTTTCAAAAGTTAAGAGTCCCTTTTCAGAAGTGTATCTGGACTGCTATCAACCAAGATTTCAATTTTTTTCTCCTGTACGCATTTAAACCTGTATATCAGTGTATAACATGTGTATACTGCTTGTATACATCCTCTTCAACACCTGCAGATTAATTTCCAGCAACACATTTTCTGTGTTTCGACCTGTTCTTCAACCTGTACAACAGTTTACCAATTTTGGAGAGGCTGGAAGACTCAGGAGGGATTAAGCCCTCATGGCTCGATAGGTGAGATGTAAAACAGAACGTTGAGTCCAAAAAAGGACCCGGGAAGAATTCACAGAAGAGAACAAACGGGGAAAAAATGTAATTAGTAAGTGACTAAAGGAAAGATGATCTATGTAAACCTACAAACAATTAGACACAGATAGACAACCTCTCATGTCAATGAAACATAAGGAAACAAGATATTAAGGACCAATTTCATATGCTCTTTATGGAACAAGAAGGCTATTATTTTTCCACACAAAATGAGTAGTGAATTAAAAGAAAAAGCCTCCTAAAGTATAACTTACTTTAACGAATTAAAGGGATGCAACTCCTAATAAATTTATTATAAAGAAATCAATCATTTGTATCTGTGGCAGTTAATGAATACTTACAACAAAATATAACAAAAAATCATAGTGAAAAGAACATCCAAGTCTTTGCCTCAAAATAGAACACATAAAAATGGTCTCCCTTCCAAGCCAGCAGCAAACAAGAATGTGTACTGTATTTTAACATGCTTCAGATTTAACAAAAGTAAGGTGCAAACTAAACTTGATAATGATACAGGTTAGTTTTTTTTTAAATAAGGGAAATTGATATCGAAACAACCATTACATTAACCTGAGTAACGACTCAATACCGTGCGAAGCAAAGGGAAAAAGAAGAAGGAAACGCGGCACATCAAGTTATATCATTTAAAGGGGAGATGGGAGAAGGCCATGACATCATACTTGATAATGAAAAAATGGGAATAGAACCTTATGATCTGAAGGGAAGGGAATAGAAATTTTAGCAGTAGACTCGATCGACATAAGCCGATAAAAATTGAAATAGACAACAAACAAAGCAAACCCATACTCGAAGCAACGATAAACACACCACATAACTCGAAGCATCGATATCTCGATTCCCTCTTCCAACTTAAAGCAAAATAAAATCAAAGCCAAGACATCGAGTATTAAACGATAAAATAAAGAACCCAACAATATTCAAGAAATCAGTCTCAAAGAAAGGATAACAAATTGCTTCATGTTCGACAGCACAATAGCATGAGAAATAATATCACAAGATCAAGTAGAATATAGACAAGCTATAGATAAATAAAGTTAACGATATCAAGAGCATTGTATGAGAATGTACACGTTAAAGGAAACGGCAAGAAGAATATAAAAGAGGGGATGCTACCTTCTGTGAGTAGCGACTTAAAACAACACGAGTAAGGAGGCGATAGCTTTGCTACAGAACTTTAGAATACAAAGAAAAAAAAACTGGACGTTGGGAAGACGACTCTTAGACCTCAAACTGAGCTAGAGTTATCTATGTATGCACTCCTCTCGGTATCCTGTTTCAGTGTTATGAGTATTTTTCACTAGGAATCTTCTCAACCAAGATGAAATATCTCCCGAAATTTTAAAGAAGAAATCCAAAATTCCCTCAGTTCAGAATTTTTTCCTTTCCAAAAAAAAAATCTCCCTGGTTTGACGACAAATGCAGATATATATATATATATATATATATATCCCCAAATTAGGGTTGAATTCAACGGAAAAGAAAAAGTCCTTTTCAAAACGAATTAAGGCCCTAGAAAAAAAATCAAAACCAATTTCTCCACCCTAGAAGAATATTCCTAAAGGATTACTCAACTTGAACGGATGGGAACATACGTGGACGGCTCGGATCGGTCTGCCATCCTTGAAGCATGACGTGGCACGATCTTGCGCTACAAGGACGAAGGTTTCTGCTGCGTTTGTTGCCCTGACTGTTGTTTATGCCGTATCCGGCTGGTACAGTACCATCAAGAGGAAAGGAAATGAGGACGCGGGTGAAAGGTCGCGCACTACAAGCGTTGCCAAACACCTCGTGCGCTAGGAAGAAAACCCAACGCATGGATTAGTTATTGTTGCCTCCTCTTCTGGGTCCAAAGCGAAAAGAAGGAAAAAAAGGGTAGGGAATGAATATCTTCCCGCGATACGTAAATTTTTGTGAGATATGAAATCTTCTCGCAATGGATAACTTTTGGCGAGGCATGAAATTTTTTTGCGATGCACAAATTTCAACAAGGCATGGATTCTTGTCGTGATGCATAAATTTCAGCGAGGCATGAAGTCTTCTCGTGATGTCTAAATTTCAGCGAGGTATGAAATCTTCTCGCGATGTACAAATTTTACGAGGCATGAAATCTTCTCGTGGCGAATAATTATTGACTCGCGATGCATGATTTTCTGCGATGCATGATTATTTTCCGCGATGCATGATTTTCCGCGATGCATGATTTCCTGCGATGCATGATTTTCCGCGATGCATGATTTTTGCGATGCATGATTTTTTACTCGCAATGCATGAATATTCATATTGTCTCTTTTGATGATATCGGCAAGATGACCTCCAGATAATTTATCGTCTTGATCGATAATAAAATAACTATCCCCTCTGGGTAATGCATTGTTTTCGACACAAGTGATATAAAATGCCTTTTGCTTCTAGGAAAGCCATTGATTTGGGGATAGTTTTCTACTCTTTCAAGTTCTCTGTATTCATTCGTTGGAAGAAATTGTTGATTTCAAAGCAAAGCTATAAACCTGCGTCCACAGAAAAACTGTTAATTTGAATAACATACTGACCTATGTTGATTTCTTCATTTGTTTGCTCCTTCTCTTTCTATCTACGGTTGATTCCCGATCTCCCAACTCTTGATAGATAAGACAAAATATTTTATGCCAAAACAAATGAAACATAAAAGGAAAAATTTAAGAGAAATAAATTTTTAAGAAATAGTATCTCGAAAAGGTCACTGCCAAGTCATGTAATATCATGCTTAACAAACTTCTTTGAGCCTGGCATTTAAAGGTCTATATGATCATTTGCTAGTGAGTTTTCAAAGTCACTCCGAACTTGTAGGTAAATCTCATAACGATGTTTTGAGGCCATTGTCAAAATTTCTGTCCCAGTTTACTGTCTTGCTTATCTTTTCATTGTAAGTGAACAGATCGTGGAATTTTTCAGACCTTCTAAAAAATTCTGTCCCAGTTGCAGATCTCGAAATATCTTTAGTTTGACTTGCTGAGGAGGAAACTTCTTTTGGAGAATTTTTGAGTCCCTTTCAAAATTTTTGTCCCAGTTCCAGTGTAAAGAGGAATAGAACTCTTGCGGGAGATATGACTGAACCCTTGTGGCGTCTACGCATCCTATTAAGGCAGGAATCAGGTAAAACGTGGTTCTCCCTCAAAGGTTAACAAAATAACAAGAAATTACAAAGAAAACCGATCAAGGCCGACATATGCCGCCTACGTATCTCATTCTTGAGAATTCAGGTCGAGCGTAGTTCAGATACAAAGAAATATTTAAAGGGGATAAATGGGGTGACCGAGGCCGACATAGGCCACCTACGTATCTCATTCTTGAGAATTTAGGTTAGATGTAGTTCATTACAAGAGGGATAAGAATTTAAGCGAAACAAATACAAGCAAATAGAATGATTACAAGTAAATAAAAGTAATGCAAAATGAAACTTGACACGTAGTATATCTTAACAGCATCTGAGTTAATAGGTTTGGTCCATACAGGGCCATCCATCTCCGACAGGACCAAAGCACCTCCAGATAATACTTTGCGAACCATGTAAGGTCCTTGTCAGTTCGGTGCGAACTTTCCTTTGTACTCGTCTTGATGAGGAAAAATACGCTTAAGAACCAACTGGCCAACTTCAAAATTTCTGGCTCTTACTCTCTTGTTAAAGGTACGAGTCATTCTCTATCTATACAACTGGCCATGGCAGACAACAACCATTCTCTTCTCATCAATAAAAGTTAGTTGATCAATCTGTGTGCTAATTCATTCAGTGTTACTTAACTCAACTTCTTGATGATTCTCAAAGACGGTATCTCGACTTCAGCAGGTATGACTGCCTCTGTTCCATATACTAGCAAGTATGGAGTAGCACCAGTCGATATTCTGACCGTCATTCGATAACCCAGTAAAGCGTATGGCAACATTTCATGCCAACCTCGACGTTTTTCAATCATTTTCCTCAAAATCTTTTTGATATTCTTGTTTGCGGCCTCTACAGCTCCGTTCATTTGGGGGCGATAAGCAGTTGACTTTCGATGAGTAATCTTAAATTGCTCACATATATCTCTCATCAAGTGACTGTTGAGATTTGCCCCATTATCGGTAATGATGGATCCTGGCACCTCAAATATGCATATTAAATTGTTGCGGACAAAATCAGCCACCACTTTGTTGTTATCGACTTGTAAGAGGCTGTTTCCACCCACTTGGTGAAATAATCAATGGCAACCAAGATGAATCTGTGTCCATTAGAAGTGGCTGGCTCTATAGGACCGATGACATCCATTCCCTAAGCTACAAATGTCCAAGGGAAGCTTTAACATTCAGCTCGTGAGGTGGCACTCGTATCAAATCACCGTGCACTTCACATCTATGGCATTTTTGCATGAATTTGCAACAATCATTATCCAGAGTCATCCCGAAATACCCAGCTCGTAGAATCTTTCTTTCCAAAGTGAGCCCATTCATTTGTGTACCACAAACTCCAGCATGTATTCGTTCAATAAGTCTTGCGGCTTGGACGGCATCGACACATCTCATAAGACCTAAGTTAGGAGTCCTTCTATATAGGACTTCTCCACTTAGGAAGAAATTGAGATCCATACGGCGTATCGACTTCTTCTGATTGGACGTAGCATCTTCGGGATAATTTTCATACTCTAAATACTTCTATATATCAAAATACCAAGGCAAACCATCTGGTTCTGCTTCAACATGGAATGAATGGACTTGATGTTTTTTCAACTCTATATCCAGAGAATCAATGTAATCTGTATATGTATGTTTAATCATTGAAGCGATGGTGTGCAGAGCATAAGCTAATTCATTCTGTATTCTGGGAGTATGTCTGAACTCGTTCTTACAAAACCTTTTGCACAGCTTCTGTACATGCTGTATGTAAGGTATAATCTTCAGGTTCTTCACAGCCCATTCACCTTGAACATGATGAATCAAAAGGTCTGAATCTCCAATGACCAATACCTCGTAAACATTCATGTCGATGGCTATTTTCAAACAAAGATTACAAGCTTTGTATTCGGCCATGTTGTTTGTGCAATTAAATCAGAGCTTAGCAGTCATAGGGTAGTGCTGACCAGATTTTGACACTAAGACTTCTCCACCACCCATACCTTGATGATTTGCCGCTCCATCAAATAATAATCTCCAACCAGGGTATTCTTAAGAAAATTTCCTCACCCACAAACGACACTTCTTCATCGTGAAAATAAGTCATAAGTTGTTCATGCTCTTCATCAACGGGATTTTCTGCAAGATGATCAGCCAGAGACTGTGCCTTTATTGCTTTCTGAGTCATATAAACGATATCAAACTCACTCCACAACATTTTCCATTTAGCCAACTTTACGATCGGCATCGCTTTTTGGAAAATATATTGCAATAGATCCATTTTGGAAATGAGGTATGTAGTATATGAAGACAAATAGTGTCTCAAATTCTAGGCAAGCCAATTGAAAGCACAACACGTTCTTTCCAACAAAGTGTAATGAGACTCGTACAGAGTAAATTTCTTGCTTATATAGTAGTTAGTCTTTTCCTTCTTTCCTGTCTCATCGTGTTGAACAAGTATGCATCCGAATGCGCTATTTGAAACAGACAAGTACCGCAACAAATGACCCCCTTCTCTTGGAGGAACCAATGCCAGTGGGTTAGACAAGTAGTTCTTGATATCGTCAAAAGCAGTCTGACACTCTTCAGTCCACTTAGTTGGGGCGTCTTTCTCCAGCAACTTGAAAATAGGCTCACACACCACTGTTGATTGAGCTATAAATCGACTGATGTAGTTTAACCTCCCTAAGAAACTCATCACCTCTTTCCTCGTCCTTGGAGGAGGTAACTCTTGAATTGCTTTAATCTTGGAGGGGTCAAGCTCAATACCCCCTCTGCTGACTATAAATCCCAATAACTTCCCGGCTGGAACTCCAAAAGCGCATTTTGCAGGTTTTAACTTCAAGTGTAACAACACAAACGTTCAAAGGATTTTCTCAGATGTGTCAAATGATCCGAACTCTCACGGGATTCGATTGTGACGCCATCCACGTACACTTCAATCACCTTATGAATCATGTAATCGAAAATAGTCGTAATGGCTCTCATGTAGGTGGCCTCGATGTTCTTGAGACCAAACCGCATCGTGTAGTTATATACGCCCCAAGGTGTAATGAAAGCCATTTTTTCTGCGTCTTCTTCATCCATCAAAATTTGGTGATAACATGTGTCACAGTCCACAAATGACTGCATCTCATGTTTGGCATAGTTGTCAATTAATATATGAATATTCGGCACCCAAAAATTATCCTTCGGACTGGCTTTGTTGATATCTCTATAATCAACACAAATCCTAATTTTCCCGTCTTTCTTGGCAATCGTAACAACGTTGGCCAGTCGGGTTGGATATTGTGTTACTTCCACCAATCGGGACTCTATTTGCTTGGTGATCTCTTCCTTAATCTTCAAACTTAGTTCAGGCTTGAATTTTCGAGTTTTTTTGCTTCACTGGATAGAACTCTTGGTTGATCGTAGCTTATGAGATACGACATCGGTACTCAACCCTTGCATGTCACCGACTTCCTAAACGAACACCTCACTATATTCAGCAAGCAAATGAACCAAGTCTTCTTTTTGAGCTTCATTGAAGTGGGTACTGACCTTAACCTCTTTAACACATTCCGAATCTCCAAAATTCACTGTTTCCAATTCCTCTAGATTTGGTTTATGCTGATTCTCGAACTGCCTGAATTCCTTGGTGACTTAATCTTGTTCCCCACTTTCTTCTTCACAATCGTCAACCTTGTCGTCATTTGTCACATTTTGTTCATTTAGCTCATGACATGACATGACATTGGCAGGTTTGTAACTTATGTTACTAAAATCATAAACAGATAAAAATAGGAATGTAAAGTATAACAAACAACTAAATATATAAAGTTAAAAATAAAGAGGCTTTCATTTAAAACAATGCAAACTTTGGCCATGGCATGGGGGCCATGTTGACTTTTTGAACATCACAACGGAAATTCAAAAATTGAACAGTTAAGAAAATGCAGAAACGGTGGGTATCAGGCCTCCTTCGGACAACCATCGATTTTAGTGTGCATTAAATAAATCCTTTCTACCGAAGAGTTTGGGACATCAAGATCGGCGTGGAAGTCCGTTTCTACAGCACCTCCCCTGGTTCAGCATCATCAATACCAGCTAGCTCGACCTCTTCCTCGACAACAGCATCGATCTCCTCAAAGAGGTCACAGAAGCCTTCCCTAAAGTTTTCTAGCTCGGCATACTCTCAATCGGAAAGGATTGATACTGAAGCGAGATCGACTTATTCAACTTTTGATCCTTTTTCTTCTTCATCTTCATGTCGTCATCTGTTGGGGGTGTACCCCAAATTATATCTGGATCCCTTAACCAGGACTGGAACAGGATCAATAATTCCTTGGGAATCACTTCCCAATCAGAAACCTGGCTCGAAACCATTCTGCAGCATCACAGTGGCTATCATTTTGTATACGGCTGGCATGGAGGGCTGTGGGGCCAAATCTTTCACCAGTGGAATTCACCAGCTCCACCGTGTAAGAGTCTGTACCTCGCGGTATTTCATCAATGATCGGCACCTGCCTGCCCAAGTGACTCCCCTCGCCGTGAATAACCAACTCTTCACTCTTCCACAGAAGCGTCATCATTTGATGGAGAGTAGAGGGGACGACTCCAGCCATAAGGATGTACGGTCTTCCCAAAAAAAGATTGTAACTGGTATATATATCCAATACTTCAAATTGCGTGTTGAACTCTGTGGGGCCCATTTGAAAGGTCAAATTCACTGCCCCCAACGTGTCTCTTTGAACCCCATCGAAAGCTTTCACGTTGACCTGGTTCTGCTCTAGTTTCCCAAGGTCAAACATTAGTTGCCTCAACGTCGCCAATGGGCAGATATTCAAACCAGATCCGTCATCTACTAAACCACGGTTAACAATCTTTTCATGGCATATCACAGTAATGTGCAGTGCTTTGTTATGTGATCTTCCTTTAGCTGGCAGCTCATCATCACAAAAGCTGATCTGGTGTCCCCGAATAACTTGATGAATCTTGGAAGCCACGTTATCACTACTTGTACCTGAGGGTACGTATGTATCATCGAGAGCTTTCATTAAGGCCTGCCTGTGGGACTGAGAGCTCATCAGTAGGGCCCACACAAAGATTTGAGCCGGAGTCTTCTCTAAATGTTTGAAAATGGAATAATCCTTTGGTTGCATCCTTCTCCAAAATTCTTCTACTTCTCCTCCTCTTATCGGCCTCTTAGCCTAGTCCTTCTTCTGTCCTCCAAGAGCAAGCTCGTCAGGAGTGTAGCACCTTCCGCACATAATCATTCCTTGAGCTGCAGCAATTTCAATGACAAATTTGGGCTTGACGAGAGTTTCTGAAGGCATTTAAAATATGAGTCGAGTCAAGTACTTTATCTATTTTTATTTAAATTGTTTTCGGTTGACACATATTTTACTCGACTCACTTATTTGGTATGTGTCAGAATAACAAACTCTCTCCTTTCCTTGACGCTTAAAGAAGCGACAACCCTGTCCAAGTCCTCATGCACAATGGGAATAATCATATTTGTTCCACACCCGTCTTCATCCGTTTCAATCATATTAATATTGCCACCTCCATATTTCAGCAACAGGTTCGTATTGACATTAGGAGCTACCGGTTAGAGAGAAACCACCTCCTGATTGATCAGATCCTAGATTTTGTGCTTAAGGTTAATACAGTCTTCCGTGTCATGTCCAACAATGTTGGAATGATAAGCACATCTTTGATCTGGCTTGTAGAACTTTGAATTGACATCCACGGGCTTGGGCCCCACAGGGTGGATATATTCAGCCACAGCTAGTCTCTCAAATAGTTTGGTTCGGCTTTCAGCAAGTGCAGTAAAGTTCCTTGAGGGCCTCTTTTCAAATCTGGGTCGGGAAGGGTCATAACCGCTGTGCTGAGGGGGAGACACATGCTGATAATTTCAGGTATTCGAACGAGGAGCTTCTCTTCTAGGATAAGGGTTTGTTTGATAATTTGGCGCTTGATAAATGGGCAAGGGCGCTCGGTAGCTCGACTGTACATTGTCACAGTTGGGAGCAATATTGTGATAGGGAGATGGAATTTGGTAAAATTGAGGGTAATTTGGGTACATGGGGGAAAGATTTTGTAGATTAAGGGGTGAACTCTGGTACAACGGAACTTGAGCGTTTGGATAAGGGGGTAGTATTGTGTTTGTTGGGATGATTGGATTGCGGGTAGTAATCTTGGTGAGACTTTGGGGAAGGACTGGAACGATCTTAGGAATGAGACGAGTTTCTGGGAGGTTTTTCTTCCCCCATACGAGACAGCGGCAACCTCCTCTCTTTTCTTCCTCATGAATCCTGAAGATCCAGGTGACGCGGATACATGTGCTATCTTCCCCAATTTCAAACCGTCTTCGATAGTCTCACAAACTTTGACTATCTTGGCGAATTTAGCTCCAACTAGCAGCATGATCCTGTCGTAGTATTCTCGCTCCTACACCCACACAAACAGTTACACAATCTCTTTCTCGGTCATGGGCGTCCTTACCCTTGCTGCTTCCTTCCTCCATCTATAGGCGAACTCCCTATAGCTTTCAATTGGTTTCTGCTTCATCTTTTCTAGAGAATACCCATCATGAACTATTTCGACATTGTAGGCAAATTGGTCAAAGAAGTCTTTGGCAAATGCATTCAAACTGGGTCAGTGCCTTGTTTCGTGTGAAGTAAACCACTCGAGGGCCTCCACACATAGAGTTCGGCTGAAAAGCCACATCAACAAGGACTCCCACGAGCTGGTCACAATATGCTCTTAGATGAGCCATGGGGTTTCCTACTCCTACGAAGGTGACAAACTTCGGAATTTAGAACCCTTTAGGAAGGTTCAAATCTGGGTGGATGCACAACTCATCGTAACTGAGTCCAATGACGTCTAGGATGCAGTGTATCTCTTTCATAGCCCTTTTGATCTCCTTATTTATA